TATTGAAACTCCCTCAATTACTCCCTTTCAGCTCAGGGGGAAAAGAAAAAAGTCTGGTACTTCTCTAAACAAATGCACTGGGCACCACCATCCCTCTCTCCTGGAGGTTGGGCTAAGGAATATCATTATGAAGCCTTTGTGTTAGTTTGGGGCCCTCAAAACTTATTCATCCAAATCCATCTATCCGTTATGAGGATCGGGCCCTGTATACACCCTCAGGACAACATATTGACACTGAGTGCAACTAATGTCAACCTAGCCCACAGAGCAGTGGTCCACTCTCTTGCTATCCTGAGCAGACAGAAAAACAGAGATTATCAAAGGGTAAGAGTGGCACTCTCATCTCCTAACTACCTTCTCTAAGGCTAAACTCAAGAGCCTTCCTATTACACATTTTCCTGTGGTTGCCTGATTCCCCTAGCAAAAAGTTTACTGTAGTGTACTTAACACAGGGAAAGTTATCAAAAGAAGTAATTTACTAATAATGGCTATTGTTCAAAATAAGCATCAACCTTATCCTCCTTTAAACAGTCCCTTGTTTTCACAAAATTAAAGGGTTCTCTTTCAACTTTCTTACTGTTTGCTTATTACCAAAGATCTCCATGCTAAGTGATCATCCCAAAAATATTTTTGAATAGTCTACTTATGGTTACAAACCTGTAACAGATTATTATACTTGACCTGGCTAACACATTTAAGAGTGCACTGTTCTTTAATACTTGTCACGTAGTTACACCCTATAAGGCAGTTTTAAAAATCTAAATTGTTCCTTAAATGTAAAAACTAAAGAAATATATACAAAAATTTATTTATATAGTGGTAACATAATTATTGCACCCTCATAGTGTTTCCCAAGTGTACAGACCTTCTAAGACACAAAGCTAAAATATATCTTATTATACAAGTGATTTCCTGACTAAAGCTGTTTGTAGTGGTAAAATTTTATATGCAAGTTACAGGTGTAATTTATAGTTTCGAAGTGACATTTCCAGACCTTGAAATCCTCTGAGCTCTTTGCTTATGTCATAGGTCCACATATATAAAAACCTTTAGGGTAATATTTCTGAGTAAAAGTCCAGCTGTTTAGTACAACTCCTCTGCCTTGTCTACCTGATCTATTAATAAATATTAAAATACCTATATGGTGGGGACAAAGATGCTAAGAAATTAATTTTAACTGACACAAGTGTCACTTTAACCGGTCTTAAACCCCCAACCAAAAAAACAAAAAATCTAAAAAAAAAAAATCTAAAAATTAACAATAGTTTTGCAAGCAGGCAGTCGTGAGTTCGATAGAAAAAGACCAGGAAAAAAAATTAACAATAGTTTTAGATATAAAGGGATTCCAAGTACTGTACTGACCCCTGCTGACAGTCCATAGCTACACCCATGGCTTGTTGATGTGGTTGAGGCTAAAAAGCCACAGCGACAAATGCACAAGTTTAACACAAATATTTAAATTTCTTAGCTAAAATTATCCTTTAAAACACAGGGCCCTGTCTTCTTATGGCTGAAATTTAAAAAAAGACATATACTTATAAATGAAAGTCTTTAAATAAAAAGTCAGATTCATAATCTCCTAAATGCCGAGGGACAGAGACACGCTATGAGGTTTATCCCCTACCTCGCAATGTTGCTTTCCTGTCGATCTAAAATAGCAGGAGAGACACAGCACATAGGTCTAACTCTTTAAAATCAGACCACCTCCATCAATATCTGAGCACCACCTTGTTACATAGCACCTGGCAAGTTTTCAACTATGGGACCTTTCCAAGAGTGACTACTCCCAAGACGACCGAAGATACTGAAATCTGTAGGTGCTCAAGTCCCTTAGTAAAATGGTAACAATTTTTGCACATATCCTGTATACTTCCTCCTATATACTTTAAGTCAGCACTAAACTTACCTACGGCAATATAAACTCAGTGTAAGACAATGTCACTGTATTGTTTAGGTAACAATGACAAAAACAAGTTTGTGTATGTTCACTACACAGAAAACTTTTATTTTCAATCTGTGTGTGATCAAATCTGAGATGTAAAACTTATATACAGTTTTAAACCTATAGATATGAACAGATTTTCCAACTCACACTCTTCTAACTTCTACTCAAGACCCTTCAGCTGACCTCACAGTAATGGGCCCTGAAGCCTCACTTAGCAAACAAACAACAAACAAAAACAACCACCAGCAAGTAACAGAGTAACTAACCACTGTTTGATGTGTCCTGAAACCAAAAAAAGGAGGAAACAAAAGGGAAAAAGACCAAAAATCCTGAACACTAAAGACAAGGTAAAATAAGCTTCAAGAAAAATCAGTGCAGAAGACAAAGAACTATGAAATCTGCTGGTGACAGAAGCTTGGAGAAGTAGAACGGGGGGAACAGTGCAAGTCTGCAGTCGGCCATCCTCTGCCCTTGAAGGAGCGATATATAAATTACAAAATCAGATGCTTCCTTGGCACCTTTGCCCCCTTGTACTTAGTGAGGGTTTTCCATTCCAATAAACCGTACCACCATTCTCAGCTGCTTGCTGTTCTGTTAAATCCTTTTCCTGTCTCAAAACGAGGGAGTGAGGGCCTAGGATACAGCTCAGCACCACAGCACCTGCCTGGCAGGTGCAAGGCCCTGAGTTTGATTCCTGGTATAAAAAAAAAACTAAGGGTAAGTGCTGTGGGAAAATTCTTAAGTCAAACAGAAAGGACGACTCTGTTCTGAGGAGATAGTACCAGCACACTGCTGCGAGATCCTTCCTAAAGGCAGCAGCCCTTAGCTTTATGGTTGTTTGTATAGTATGTAGAAGTGAGAAGTACAAGGCAAGTGACAAAACACGCTATATATTGACAGGCAGGCTAATCACGAACAGATTTGTTGGAAAAAGGAATTATCATAATACACACTCGAGGAAAACAGGAGGCTCTTACAGGGTGAGCATAAAGGTGTCCTTGACTAGCCCAGGGTGCCTTAAGGCATAGACAATTATCTTAACTCAGTGTTTATCAGATACAGGCAGCTGGACTTTAGACACTGTCATTGAATTCAGCAGAAACTTGGTCAGAGACCTCTACTTGCTCCCTAATCTGTACCATGAAATACCTGTAAGCTTGCTGTTTTATAAATGTGTTCTTACATTATGATTGTGCCCTAACAAGGGAACTAGTTACAAAAACAACTGCAGATAAGACTGAGTCTATGCATTTTCAAGTTATTGATTGCTTTGTGTAACAGAACATTTGCTAATGAAATTACAAGTCAAAGAAGCAGAATCAAGTTGTTCCTGTTTAGGATCAAAAAATTTACAGAACTTCTGCATAAGAAATTTACAAACCTTCTGAATAGGAAGTTTTATGGCCAACCAACACTTACAGAACTAGAAAAGCCAGGAAAAAAAAAATCCAAAACAAAAAGGAACAATTTAAATAATCAACAAGACTAAATTGGATAATTGTATAACATCAAATTATGAAACAATATGCCACTACTCAAATTTATTCTCCTTAAAGACTAAATGTAGGGGAACATACAGAAAATGTTTTTCATTTGAAAATATAGTAAATATTAAATGATTACGTATTAAGACAGTTGTGATTTTTTTCCCTATCGCTCTCAATTTTCTAAAAAGTGTCAAATAATCAGAAAAATGTTAACAGTTACAGAAAAGTCTATTTATGCTACTTCAAATGTTAAGAAAATTTATACTGACCATGAATTGCTAATAGTGTTATTAGATTTATGTAAGCGTATATAGTGAGCTTGCAGAGGTTTCAACTAAATTAACTGATATTCTATATCACAGTAACTTTTGAAAAATGTGACCTATTAGGGTACATTAGCAAATCCAGTTTTTTGCTTTCAGGGGAAGAGATTACACCCTAAAGAGGCCCTCTACACTGCCCGCTGGTTATACAGCTTATCTTCTCAGTGGGCTAAATTTACCAGAACTATTGTTTCAGCAGAGGGAATCCTCTGATTTCAACACCAGGGTCTAGAGCCGTGTTATTCAAAACATCACCAGCACTACCTAGGAGGCTTAATCAGAACCAGTTCCAGACCTACATTAAAGATTCCAGAAAGACTCATACATATCTACGTTTTGAGAAACACTGCTGCACTAGACTCACAAAGATGTGATCTTGTCTTGACAATTACAAGCAGCCTAGTTTTCGCAGTTACAGTATTTCTCCAGTTGTAACCAAGAGTCTTTCCACACTGACTTCTCCATCTCCGGTTTCATCTTTCTCTTGTATAGGAAGCATGATGATTAAATCCTATAAAGTTAAATACTTTCATGCCGCCTCTTTCACAGACTGAATGTAGAAAAGGGATGTAACTTATCAGAAATAACATCTAAACTCCGTGCTCCAGACACTGCCATTTTTCAAGTTCTTGAATGTGGTGCCTACTATGATTTTACAGGGCATGATTATATTGCTGATCTTCCTATCAAATGTTCAAATTTATACACTCGATTTTCTGCTCTTTCAAAGAACTCACCTAGGGAAGGGGAATAAACGTAGTTTCCTTTATTTAAAACCTATCACTTCTTTCAGAACTGTCAGTAGTGAGAATGTAAGAAATTTCCTTTTCCTGTCTCATTGCCCATATTGAAAATCTGAAAACGATTCCTAATGTAACCATTAACTTAATCATTGAGAATCATTTGGATTTTGAGTGGTTTCCACAAATTACAAAGTAAATCAAATTACAAAGATTTCCCCTCCAATGGAGACATAGCTACTTTAAGACCACTTATAAAGTTATAGAAAAGACAAAAGTCAGAGAAGACAAAAAGTATAAGCAGTATGTCTCTTAAGAGACAACATTTAAATATAAACTCTGCCCTATGGTTTTATCTCTTATGTTCTCTCATTTTAACAGAATTATAGCACTCAGTAGCTACTGCATATTCTAATTTTTGAAATACTTATTTTAAGGAAGTGACAAGAAGAAAAAAGCAAATTTCACTTAAAAAAATAAAGAACACACACAAAAACAGACACAATACTCCTTAAGAAATCTTTAATTCCAAGAAATTAATCCAGAATAGAATATATTTTGTATCTGTACTCATGTAATAAACATAAAAAAACCTTTCAATAACAAAGACTTTATTAATTATCTAACCTAATACAAGTTACTGTATTTGTATATGTAACATATATGATAATATTATTTTAAAAAGTCTCAACAGGATTAGAATATTTTCTTGAAATTACTCCTTTATGCCGACAAAGAGTAACATTTGAACTTGTGATGGCTTTCTACCTTACAACCAAGTTAAGAACAATGTTTGCTGAAGAAAAAAATTTCCATAAATTATTAGCTAAATTCCAATAAAATATGGCTTCAGCAAACGTGAAAAGAGAAAAAAAACATGTTATTTTTTTGTTGATTTATGACGTGAAGGAAAAAAAAGTGAGATTTTTAAGACTTCTGTACAAAAAGTAGATACATAGAATTCTGACAGAAAAAGTATTAAAAGATGAAATAAATTGCCTCTTTGTCAGGAAAACAAAAATAATAGTTTATCTTCTGAACTGATTAGTAACCCCAAGAGATTTTCAAATTGGGAGGCAAATTACTAACACTAAGTTCATCAAATTTAGATCTGTCCTGAACAGGAACATTATAGAATTCAAGAACATCTCTGACGGTGCACATCTGGTGAAGCCTGGAGTTAGGTACCGCATGGCCCAAGTCATCAGCTAAATGTGCCAAGAGACTGAACTTCATATGGCAATCTTCTAGGGAGATGTCCTGCCAATTACTGGGAAGAGACGAACCACAAATTTCTTTAACACGAAATTCCAAACGACTCTGCAGATCTTCAGGTGGCATGTATGTGCGGCTTCGTGAAGGTGGACAGGCCAGAATCGGTTCCTTTTTCACTTCTTCAGTCTCAGCAACCACGGGTTCTTCCTCTTTTCTGGAGTAATCAAAAGCAAGTATGTGAATCAATTCACTAAATTAATGAAGTTAAGAAACACTTGACTAAACCTTGCCTACTTATTAAAAATCAACAGATAATTTGTACACTCAATATCTTCTACTATGGAAAGAAGGAAAGAATGATGTAGGTTCCCATCACTGCAATGTTTATAGTTGAATGAGTCGGAACAAAAAGATCACCTTAGGTACATATTTCACATTCTAAACATTCCTAAGAATGGGTGAAGTGGGGCTGGGGATTTAGCTCAGTGGCATAAGCGCCTGCCTTGCAAGCAGGCAGTCGTGAGTTCGATCCCTGGTACCAGTAAAAAGGAAAAAGACAAAAAAAAAAAAAAAAAAAAATGGGTGAAGTAAGGCACATCTCTTCTGTCTAGGGATCCTACTCCTCCAAGATCTCACCTCCAATCTACCTCGTAACTATACCTCCCATTAATTTCTATGTAATGCAGGCTTCACTCAAATTAAACTACATGCTCCCCCTTACCCAACACCATGTTGTGACTCCAGTTACACACTTTCTTTTATGCTCATCTTTTATTTTCATCTTTAGAAATCTTGCTGATCCTAAAAGATCTAGGACAAACTTTGTTTTCTTTCAAGCAACTTTAACTCGACTTCCTTAATCAAATATAACTACATTCCTCTGATTTTCTCAGCAGTTTATATTGTTCTCAGAGTATATCACATCCTACTGAAGTTTTGATTTTATTTATACCCAATTTCTCTTACAAGATCAGGGTTCCACTCCGCTTCAAATATACTGACGTTTTGAATTAGCCAATTCTTTGGGAGAGGAGACTCTGTTCAGTGTAAGATGTTTAGTATGCTGGATGCCTACAGCACTCCTATCCCTAAATCATGACATACAAAACACATTGCAAATATCCCCAGAGGAGGAACACTGTCTTGGTTGAGAACCACTGCACCAGATTATGAACTCTGTAGTCCAGAAACATGTTTTGCTGATTGGGATTCTTTGAAAATATATTTAATGATTGCTCATACAAGGACTAAGTATATGGGCCAAAGGAAGGGAATTTGCATGACATATCATGTAAATCCATAGTCCTTGGCTGGTTTTACATCTCTTTCCAATTAGAGCCATCATTAAAAGGCCATAAATTGGCTCGATGAAACAAAAATCAGGAATAGAAGATTGGCCCCGAGAAAAGGACAGCCTCAATAGGGCAATCCTTGGCCAGATTTATAATGGTTCTCTACCAGGCCCATCAACAGAAGGCCACAATTGGCCTAATTAAAACAGCAAACAAAAGGTTGATTGAATTCTGAGAATGTTGGTTTAAATCACTTTTTTAAAAATGCCTCGAAACAGGCAGGAGTGGGGGTAAGTTGGGTGGATTTTTACTCTACCTTTTCAACCCTCTCAAAAGTTAAATGTACTCAGTTCCAAACCATAGTGTCTCATTTCTGAGCGCCTGCACTTCCTGCGAGTGTATTCTATACTTTTTCTTTGCCTAATAAACCCTATTCTTGCCTCTTTTCTGATATGTCCTAAAAGTTCTTTTTCTGCAATAGCAGCCAGTGAGCCCACTATAGCAAGATGGGTTAAATTCAAAAAACTCTCAGACCTAGAATGGTGATGTTTTTCCAGAAATTAATGCCTTTTTCTACACAGATTGCTTACCAACTTTCCACTGTCTACTTGTTATGTTTGGATGTGTCTCCCAAAAGTCCATATCTTAGACTTAATCCTTAAGTTCATGTTATGGCATTTGGAGTTGAGATCTCCAGGATGCAATTACGATTAGATTAGGTCAGGACGGCTAGTATCTCATGACAGAAGGCATTGGAGAAGACAAATTCAAGCTAACATACTAAAGTGACATGCTCAGGCATACCATGAGGTAACAAAAAGGCCCTTATCAGATGCAGAGCAGACCACAGTGTTATGCCCTGGGATTTGCCAGCTTCTAGTACTGTGAGCCAAATGAACATTTATTTATTATAAATTACTCAGTCTTGGGTATTTTGTTATAGTAATAGGAAACAAATTAAGTCACTACTAAAGTAGTCATAGGAAATAGGCTGTACTATCCTCCATTTTTAAAGAAAAAATTCACACTGGATCCCATGTTTCCTCTAATTAGTATTCATATTTTCAAAATTCTCAAGAGTTGTCTATATTTAGTTTCTACCTCAACTCCGAATTCCCCTCAAATTAATCATCAAATCACAGTCAAAATGAAATGTAACTCATGTAAATGACTGAGTACTCAAACTGAAAGATAAAAGAATGACTAAGTGAATTAAAAACCTCTAAACATAAAATGTCTAAAAGAAATCCATTTTAGGTTGAAGGACACATACATATTGAAAACAAAAGGATGAAAGAAAGATATTACATGCAAATGGAACCCCAAAGAAACAGGCATAGTTATATTCACATCAGACAAAATAAATTTTTTAGTAAAAATCTCTCAAAACAAAAAGTAGTTATATAATGATAAAATGGCCAATTTAAGAAAAAGATACAACTATAAATATATATAAATATATTACAAAATGACAACATCTAAGCATATGCAACAAATACTGACATCTAGACTGGGGATTTAGCTTGATGGCATAAGTGCCTGCCTGGCAAGCCTGAGATCGTGATTTCGATCCCAGGTACCAAAATAAAAACAAACAAATAAACAAAAACTTACACCACAAATATTGACATCTAAAACGAGAAACTGATTGCAATAATGGGAGAATCTGATAACTCATTTTCAGTAATAGAACATCCAAACAGAAAATCTACAAAGAAGGAATGAAGTTGAAAAATACTACATACCAAATAGACCTAACAGACATATAAAACTTTCTGTTCAACGGCAAAAAGAATATGCACTCTTCTCCACCACACACATTTTCTGGGGTAAATTATGTTAGGTCGCACACACAAAAATGTGTTAATAAATTTGAGAAGATGAAAATCCTATCAACTATCTTCTCTAACCACAAAAGAGAAATCAGTAAAGTACGAAACTAAGCAAACAAAAAAAATCAATAAACAGATGGAAACTAAGTAGCATACTCTTGAATAATCTCTGGGGCTAAGAAAAAACCAAAAAGCAGCTTTAAAAATATCTTGAGATAAATGAAAATGAAATATGTCAGAACAAAATGCATGAGACACCAGAAAAGCAGTAATAAATACTAATTCAAGAAATAACCTAAATAGATGGGTAACAAATAAGACTGAAGTAGTAACCAAAAAAACTCCACACAAAGAAAAAAGTTGACACCAGTCACAAGGCTTCATGAATTACTTTTACTAAACTGTCAAAGAAGAAATGGTGCAAATCCCAAAAATATGAAGGAGTACTTCCAAACTCATCTTATGCCAGATGAAGATATCAAGAAAACTACAAGCCAATATTGCTAATAAACGAAGACACGAAAATCCTTAATAAAACAGAAGACCAAATTCAAAGTCACATAAAAAACTTTATACTAGGATTATCCCTGGAATGCAAAACCATTCTATATATGCAACTCAGATGTATATCACATTAACAAAATGAAAGTAAAAACCACATGATTACCTCAATAGATGCAGAAAAAAACATGTAACATAATTCAACACTAATTCAGGTATTGATGAATCCTACTTTGACACAAGAAATAGCATAACCAGTGGGAGATAGTTTTTTTTTTTTTTTTATTTCCAAGATCTAATACAAGAGAAGGATGTTCACTCTTTATCACTTTTACTCAACAAAGAACTGTACTACAAGTCTTACCCAGACCTATTAGGGCAGAAAAAGAAATAAAAGGCATCAAAATCAGAATGTAAGTAAAACTGCCTGTTTGCAGATGAGATAATTGGTAAGCAGAAAGCCCAAAGATTTCATGAAAAAAAACTATCAAACTAATAAATAAATCCAGTAAAATTGCAGGACACAAAATCACAATGCAAAGTAACATTTCTTTACATAAACAACAAACTATGCAAAAAGAAAATGTCACATCCAATTATAACAGCATCAAAAGTTAAAATAATTAGAAGAAATTTAACTAAGTAAAATATCTGACTACAAAAATATTGAAAAATATCTAAAGACAATACATATCGGTGGAAAGATACCTGTGTTAATAGACTGGAACATTATTACTGATAATATGTCTACACTACCCAAGTAATCTAAATATTTAATGCAATGGCCATCAAATTCTAATGGTATTTTTCACAAAATTTAAAAAAGCAACCCTAAACTTTGGTTGGATCTACAAAAGACCTAGTGTACTCTAGCAAAAACAAAGTTTGACACATCATACTTCCAAACTTAATTCTACTACAAAGCTATAGTAGTCAATACAGTAGAACTATCATTAAAAACAGGAACACAGAACATAACACCATTAAAAATCCACACCCATCTTGTCAACTAGTTTTTGATGAGAGTACCAAAAATACAAAATAAGGGAAACGACAGCCTTAATAAAAGATGTTGGGAAAACAACATATATATGCAGAAGAAAGAATTTCAACCCTTATCTCACATTGAAAACAAAAATCAACTCAAAATGCTCTAAAGACATAAACTTAAGGCTTGACCAAAACACTAGAAAAACTCTTAGGTATTGGTCTTGGCAATGATTTTTTTAGATATGACACCAAAAACAGGCAAGGAAAACAAAAATAAATCTTCTATACAGTAAAGGAAACAACAATAAATCGAAAAAGCAACTTATACATTGGCAGAAAGTATTTGACTACCTATCTGATCAGATCTCATACACAGTAGCAGATAAAACATTTAAAGAACTTAAATACCAAAAACAAAACCTTATTTAAAAATGGGCATTTTCCCAAAGACAATAATATACATGACCAAAAAGGAAAAGGTGCTCAACATTACCATCATTATGGAAACATACATCAAAAGCACTGTAAGGTATTACCTCATACCTAGTAGGATAGCAATTATCAGAGACGATGATCTATAGAAAAGACACCATGACACCATTATACAATTGTGGTATGGCCATTACGGAAAATGTGAGCGTTTCTTAAAATAAATTTAAAGTAATATCACATGATCTAACGATCCTTTTAGGTATACATCCAATGGAAATAAATCCAATCTCTTAAGAGATATTTGCATTTCCATGTTCACTGTAACATTCTTCACAATAGCCAAGATATAGAAATGCCCTAAAGTGTAACATGACGAAAAAAAGTTAGTCACAATGAAATGTTATACAGCTTTACAAATGGGATTTAGCTTTGTGGTATACGTGCCTGCTTGTCAAGCTCGAGGTCGCGGGAATTCCATCCCCGAATCAAAAAGGAAAAAAAAAAATCCGGCAGATGAACTACAGGTTATTATACTACTCGAAATAAGACAACAAAAAATACTGAATGATCTCATGAGGAATCTCGAAACGTCAACTAGAAGCAGAGAAAGACTTCTGGTTGGAAAAGACGGGCAAATGTTGGTCGAAGTTTCACTTATGTGCGGTAAGTTCTACAGGTTTAATGTTCAGCGTAGTGGTTACCAGTAACAGTTACAATACTATGTACTTTACTAAAGATATCTGAGGTGTCCTCATTTCAAAAAAGAATTATGGCTGAATGTGGTGGTGCCTGGCTGTAATCTCAGCTACTGAAAAGGTTTTGAAAGAAGGATCACGAGTTTCAGGCCACCCTGGGCAAGTCAGCAGGACCTTGTCTCAGAACAAAAATTTAAAAACGAGCTGAGAACATATTTCAGTGGTTCTGTGGTAGAGTGCTTGCCTAGCGTAAGTAAGGGTCTGGGTTAAATCTCTAATATAGAAAAAAAATTAACCCGATAGTTGTTGTTTACAACAAGGACACCAAAGCATCACATTCTACATTTTTATGTTCATACAATCTGATAAAATAAGAGGTAACAGAAAAAGAAGAAAATGTAACTCTTTTCATTTGCACTAGTTTTCTTCATAACTTAGCACTTGAAAGTAAGTAAACAATTGTGGTTATCACAATACATTCTAGTGCCCTGAACATTACGTAGGTTAAACAGATTTACCTTCAATAAACCCAAGAGGCACAATTTAACTTAGTTTACGTTTTTGGAAACACACTTTCGTCTGTGGTGGCCTTTCTTAAGGGCTGAACAAAGACTTTGCTTCTATGCTGCACTACTCGCTTAGAGAAACGCCAGGATAGGGCAGGCGCCTAATATCTAATTGCTCAGTGAATCACTGAATCAACAAACAAAACAGGAGCGTGCTCCCGTTTCTGAATCTGTTTGCGAAGAAACATGCCTTAAAAATGAGTTTGGTTCACCAACCACTTTGACGTGCCTATTTTAGGTTCATCCAATCCAAACCAACGTACTTGGCGCCTCACACAGGTGGTCAAACTGCTCAATGAACGAAAGAGATAAAAAGGAATGGTAACTGTATTTCCCTTATGAGAAACAGACTGAGAGGGAAGCTGACTGGCTCCACGCCTCGCGGAGACCAGTACTGAACTTTTGAAGTTGAAACTCTAATGCACTTTCTTGTCCCTATTAGGATGAGAACCCTTCCCCTCGAAACTCATTCTTTCTTCCTCTCCAATTTTTCCCCTTATTTCGTCAACGCAACCCAATGTCCAACTTTCTGCTTTACCTGGATCGAGACCAAAACTCTCTACGCGCCGTCCCCGCGACCATACGAGTCCATCCTCTTCTTGCAAGGACAGAGACACACAGCGCAGCCATATTCGGGGAAAGCTGGGAGACCGACCTCTTCCCTTGCCCGCCGCGACACGCCCAGACCAGCCAATCAGATGCAAGCTTGTGACCACTTTTCTCTTTTTCCTGTTGTCGGCCCTTTGCACGCCGGGAAATATAGTCCAGATGCAATTTCCAGCGGATTCTGGAGCGCGGCGTGCTCTCAAAGCATGGAGGGAGTTGTAGTTGAAGGGACTTCTCGGGAAGGTTCCGGGTGACGCCTTCTGGTCCGGGGGCGGGCGAACCTAGAGCTACTTGGCTTTGCTGGGAAGGCAGTGGTAACCGGGAGACGGCTCTGGGGAGGCCTCCCTGGAAGACCGCGGCGGGGGAGGGGACTCGAGGTAGGGGTTCCCTCTGGGAGCCAGTCTGCTATGCTGCTGGGAACGTGACCGCTGTGGGACTGAGGTGGGACCTGAGTGGACGCAGCCTACGAGCTTCTCATCTTTCTTGGGCCTAATTTCCTGCAGCCAGCTAGGCCTCATCAGAAAGGCCTCCTTTCCTTGCGGCCCTCCAGCTTTGAAGCCGGGAGATGGCCTCCCCGAATTCCCCACTGGAGCCAAAGGTAAGTAGCTATTTCCGGGGGACCCAGTTATCGCCCCATTATCCTGGTTAGGCTACATCACCACGCCTCACCCCAATGCCCGACTCCCCTCTCTCTGCAAGCACCCCAACGCCATCCGGCGCCGGTGCTTTGGGCTGCTGTTTACTTACACATTGTCTGCTGGCTCCTTTTTTCAAGTGCAGCTTGATTAATGACCTGGGAAAAACTAGGTGTGCTCCAGGATAGCTTTCTCACTTGTGACTTTTTCCAGGTAAGGCACCGTGTTTTTACCTTTCCTTGTGTGTTCTGCGTCTGGCACTATGCCTGGACCCACAGAAGATGCTTAGATAACCTAATGAAATGAAATTTTATAGGGTCACAAGTCAGTGCAAATAGAGAACTGGAGCAGAGCAGTGAGGTAATGAAGCTTGGAGAGGTCTTGGGGCAGTTTACTAAAATTAAAATATTAGTGTATAATTACTAAGCCAGAGAACCCTTATACTTACGCCCTTCTCTTACAAGGACAAAGCTCCAGCCCAGTTACCCTCTACTCTGAGGTGCCTGCCTGTTAAGTCAGTTCCCAGAATTGGGCACCTTTTTGCACTCTTAGTTATGTACCATCTAGTGTACTTGGCCATGGTAATTGCTTGCTTCTGCCACTTTCAGTGATAGACCCGTCCTTGAGACAACAGGAACCTGACTACAGAAATACACTATTTCAGGGGTTGCTGACATTTGAGGATGTGGCTGTGTTTTTTACCCAGGAGGAGTGGGATTATTTGGACCCAGCTCAGAGAAGCCTCTATAAAGATGTCATGATGGAGAATTATGGAAACCTGGTCTCATTGGGTAAGAATCTGTTCTTTTTCTAAAATATCTGAGAAAGTGTTAGAAATTACATTCAGAATGCTTAGACCAGTACTTTACCAGAACTGCTTTGTTCCAAAGTTCTGATCCTTTCAGCCACTAATCCTATGATTCTTTTATCTCTCACTTTTTTTATAGTGACCAAAATGTAAATCTTTCTGGCTTCCTGTCTTTGAAATCTTGTTCCCATATTGCTCTGTACTTTCTCTTTGTTCATCCTCCCACTGCTTTCCTCCCACCCTTTCACTGTGCCTTCTGGAGCCCCTGTTCCTCTTCACACAGTGTTCCTTACCCTCCTGGCCTTCACTGAAACTTGGCACTTTCCCAGTGACACCACTTCTCTTGCAGACCTTCAAGTGGGGGCTACTTATTCTCCCACATCCTCCTTCTTCCTCATCCTTTGTTTCAGGGCTGGAAGGGAAAAATTTTTCCAGCTTTTCAGTGCTGTTCCCAAAGATCAGTTTATTCAGCTCATTTTTACCTTGGTTTTGTCAACTTTTTCTTGGGTCCTTGACACACAAGCTTATCACCCATTTCACACACTTCTCTGCTTAACCCATACAATCAGTCAGTACTTGAACCTCAGTGAATATTGATGGTTTTGAGTTCAGGGATCCTGTTTTCTGTGTTTAGTTACTTTTATCACTTAACTTTCCATCTAAACCTATTCTTTGTTCATGTATTTCTTGTCTCTTGATGTGTTTGTTTTTTCTGTGGGATATCAATACTCTCCTGACTTTACCAGCCTGGTCTCCTACCTTGACATTATCCTGTAACCATTTTTTTAAAATCAATGTTAGTTATAATGTCTGCCATTTTTACTCTCTTGAGTTGCAGGGGAAAAAAGTACTCTTAAAAAGATTGATGCCCCGTATATGCTGCGCTGTATATGCATGGCTTCTTAAAATTCTACTCATATTTGAGTTTGTGCCTCAGTAGTTTTGTTTTGTTTTGTTTTGTTTTTGTTCCTGATATGTTTGTTCTCCTGTTCCTTTTAGTGACTATTTCACAAACTTAGGGTTTTCTGTTACTCTGTGTACCTTGGCTTCTGGTCACAGAGAAGAGAGTCCACTAAGCATGAACTCTCAAACTGCTGTGACCCTCATTGTCACAGTTATAGGTCCTCCCATGCTTTGTCTTCTTCAGAAATTTAATCAGTGATCTTTTGTTCCCTAATAGCCCCAATCTCTGTTCCTTCTTTCTTAGTGCTGATGATATGTTCATGGCTTTTCTAGTTGGAGAAAAAGAAAAAACTTCCTCCTTGGAGCCAGTCTCACTTGCTGCTCTCTATAACTAGCTATTTGTTCTCTTCACAGCCAAATTTTGTTAGAGTGATTAATGTGTGTGCTGTGCTGCTGTACCCTCCATTATCTCTGTGCCCTTTGTTTTGCCTCCAACACTCCCATTAAATTGTTCAACAGTGATATGTAATATCCTCATCATTGAATACATAAAACCCTTTTTGTACTTTGAGTCAATTGTTTTATTTGAAACTATTGCTTCCTTTCCTTTGGCTTACATTCTCAGACTTCCTCTCAGTCTATACTCATCTACATTCAGTTTGTCAGTTACCACTGTGTACCAAATCGCTCAATCTAAAAAAGGTAATGTACAGTCTAAGTGCTTAGATTCAAATCCTAATTGTACATATGTTACTTATCTCTGTTCCTCAGTTTCTTATAAAATGAAAATAATAATAGCACATACCCTTAAAGTTTTGTAAGTATTAATCAGATTAACATATATGTAAAGTATTTAGGACATTGACTACCATGTAATAAGCATAGTGTTAAGGACTGATTGTTATCCTCTGTTGAACTACAAATTCTAAAGATGAGTAAATTCTTCTTAGTCATCTTCTTTTGAAGACCACATAAGTAATTTATACCTGAAGAGTCTAAAAAATGTATTACATTCTCAAGGGTCTTCCCTTCAGAGTTAAGTACTCCTTTTTCTTCTACTACCGTGTATATATAGTATTTCCATAGTTCATCACACTGTTCAGTAGTCATTCTATATGGGTTCTTTCTCCACCACACTGATCAGCTTAAGGACTACAATTTGTATCATTTTCATTTGATTTCTCCAGCACTTATCACAGAGTTGGCCATGTATCATGTGCTTTTTAAATATTTGTGTGACTGAGTAGGTAAATTTGAGACTTACCTACTGGCCCTTGGTTACTAGCATCTTTTTAATTCATTCTATCTACTATCACCAAAGTGCTTAGAACTTCTAACAGTTGAAATAGCTTAAAGACAAAAACTTTAATTTCTTATAGGAGGACTTATTTCCCAAATACAACTTTGTCCTCGCTTTCTGTCTCTGATTTGTTGAGTATCACTTTAATCTTTTCTATCAATCGCTACTTCTTGTTTTTTCAGATTTCTCATTGTGTCCTGGAGTCACTGCCACCATCCATACATATGGTGTCCTGAGTGACAGAACCAGGCGGACACTTAGCTCTGCCTGTCTCTGGTACTACAACATATGAGTACTGTATGGATAAAGGGTTGGCAATGAGCCTGTCTGTGATTTTGTACTTTTAGGTGTTCGCACGCTCTCACTTGCTCGCTCTCTCTCTGTCTCTCTCTCTCTCTCTTTTTCCAACTCAAGCTTTCCATTATTTATTATTTTTTCTTCCACATTCCGTTTTTATTCTCCTTAGTAGACCCGCCTCCATCACCTTGATGAAAACTCCCCTAAACAGGTCACTGTTACTCTACTGATGCAGTCCAGCATTCTTCTATTTCACCTTGCTATTTTTTAAGAAAATTCCCTTCAGCTTTATAATTCTGCCTCTTCGTTCATATGTTTCCTTTCCATGTTGCTTTTTCTCTGAAGAAACCCAAAGTATAAAGAGCAAAATAAAAGATGACATACTGGGAGCAGGAAGATAGATTTTTCTCAGAGGGAAAGAGGATCAGGTGATGGGGAGGATGAAAAAAGGAATTAAAATGTGTTATGTGCATGAACCAACTCCACACAAGTAATGTAAACATGTTCTGCAAACATGTACAAAAAGGGCTAGGGATCAAGATGAGTAGAGGGAAGGGAAAGGAGACAAAACAGAAGAAGATGTATCATGTACATGTACCAGCTCCTCATAAGGAGTGTAAACATTATGTACAGCACATATGTACTGATAAAGAAAATGATCAGAAAAAATGTAATAGCTGCATGATGACACACAGTTGATTACTTGATCTCTATTTTTTGACTTTTAATTTCAGTAACTACTCTTTGCATAAGTCACATTAGACCTTTAATCACATTGGATTTTGACAACTGGGAATTGCTGAACCTACAAGACCTTGAACTCATTATTTTCCTTCTTTCATTATATTCTTTCCAGTTATTTGTTAAACTCATTCAATTAATAATTATCAAGCACTGTGCTAGACTTTAGAAATACTAGTTCCTCCCATAGCCTCGTTCTGTCAAGCAGGAGCACTGATCACTTTATGCTCTATTAGATAGTAAGGTTGGCAAATAGGCCCCATTAAGCAAATCTAACCCACAGCTTGTTTTTGTAAATCAGATTTTATTGAAATATAGACATGCTCTTTCATTATGCATTGTTTAGGATTACTTTCATGCTGTATCAGCAGGGACCTTGTAACTTAAAACAGTGAAGGATATTTATTGTCTGATCCTTTACAAAAAAGTATGCCAGTTCTTGTCTTGTCCTTAAGTTCATCCATTTCCATGTTACCATCTTCTTACCTTCTTTCTTCTTCCCTCAGCTACCATATTATTAGAACTGTTTAAAAATTATTAAGCTACCGTAAGCCAACAAGGGTATTATTATAAGGACATTGCGATAATTTATAAAATATGTAAACAAATTGTAGCTGAACTTAGAAAACAGCGTCAACCAGAAACTGAATCAAATGATGTTAGTCATGTTAGGCTGCTATAATGAGATACTATAGAATAGGTGGGTGACTTAAACAAGTAATTTTTCTCTCTTAGCTCTAGAGGCTGGTAAATCCACGATAAAGGATCTTGTAGACCCAGTTGCTGCTGAGGGTTTTCTTTATGACTTGCAGGTAGCTTTCTCACTGTGTTGGGGAGGAACAGAGACCATACTTTTCTCTTTCTTATACGGACACTGTAGTATCATCATGCAGCTTCAACTTCATGACTTCATCTAAATCTAGTTACCTACCAAAGGTCCCACCTTCAGGTACCATCACACTCGGGCTTGGGGCTTAGAGCTTCAAAATACTTAAAGGGAGAACACAACATTAGTGTATATAGCATTCTCTTTTGCTTTGTTTCTTTCTCATTGGCAAACTAGTTTTTCCGCCTTATGCCCACCTACTTGTGTCATTTTCGTTTTTGAGTTGATTGGTTACAGGTCCAACCACACTCAGATTAACTAGCTATTTAAACTTCATTTTCCAAATTCCTGAAGAGTGGCCCATCTTGAGTTAGTTGCTTACTGTAGATAAATTAGGTATGACCAGAGTGTGGGACTGTACGTAATTATGACCTGTAATCACCAAGCCCAGATCTAATAGTCATTTCAAGGCTGCTTTGTGTAGAAGCCCACACTCACTTTCTTCATCTGTGTATCCTATGGATGTATGCATTTCTGTGCCAGTATCATTATTTAATGTACTTTAGCAAAATGCTACATATTATGGGTTATGCTCATTATTCTTTTTCAGGATGTACTAACCAATTGTCTATATTCTGGCTGTTGAAATTGAGATTTTGTGAGGTTTTTAATTGGTCCCTATGATTTTTAATGCAATGTTATTCACTCCATAGGTTAGTTTTAAAAGAATTCATAACATTAAATTTCTTGAGCCACTTGGTTGATTCTGTTTAACTGTCCTTTGCTTTCAAAAAATTTTTTGATTGCTTTCTTTATTTCTTCATTTTTTACTTATTTTTTGAGATTGGATCTTCTTTGTTGCCCAGGCTGACCTCAAACTCCTGGGCTCAAGTAATGCTGAAGTGACCTTCCCTGCCTCCACTTCCTGAGTAGCTGGGATTACAGGCATGTACCAACATGCTTCATTAGATCTGCGTATTTCTTATGGTTATTCATCATTCCTAGATTTTATATCTTTTGTTGTATTATGAAGAATGCATATATATTTTTATAACATTTACTATCTAGTTTTCTTGGTAGTAAAAACTAATTTTTTAATATAATATAATTTCATTTGACTCAGGAAGTTAGATAGATACTCATATTGTCTTATTTCTTTGAGTTAAACCTCCAAAATAGTATTCACTGGGTAAGTACAGAAACTTTTCTTTTTATAAGGAATTAATACCCAAAGAAAGAGACAAACACATAAATAGTTTTAAAGTGAAGTATAATAATGGTATGTAGTGCAACTTCTTTCTGTGTAGAGTTGCAGGCAGTAACATGAAAACTGGTAATAAAAAGCAGAACATTTAGACCTGCCTGGTAGCCTTAGAGACTTTGCAGAGCATGTATTGCTGTACTGAATTTTAAAGAACCAAGGATTTTCCCAGTAAACAGTGCCGAGGGACACTTCATATAGAGATACGCAAAGGTAAAACATGAAAGTGTTACTAACACTAACAGCTTATCTACATGGAATATGGTAGAGGAAGCAAGAAGTTGAGTTTAAGTTTAGTCCATGTTATGAAGAGTTCTGAAAACAATAATTAAAAGCTTATGTTTGATCTTAAAGCTGAATCTTCCAAGTGGTGACGTGAATACAATTCCATACTTCAAACATCCCTCTGGAGTCACTAAATCAAACATAATTTCAGTATAGCTTAAAGACCAGGGCCAAAGATAATTAGATGAGTGCATGGTTGTGACATTTAAAAAGTGAAAGTAAAAACAAGTGAAAGTATGTTCTGCAAAAAAATCTGTTACTTTGTTAACTAACAATAAAAAAGGGAGAAATCCAAGACTTTAGGGTAATGGTGCCTCGTAAGAGATGATTATCCGTGAGGAAATATACTAAGTAATTGGTGATGTCCAAGTTCACTGCCAACCATTTATGAGGGGTCTAACTAGTGATAGCTAGAGCATTTAAATGTAGAACAAGTAAGGAAATGAAACAGAGCAGTAACTAGGTAAAATAGATTTTCTGTCAGAGGCTGAAAAATAAATTAGGGGAATTAGGAAGACAGGAGAGAGCTGAAAGAATGTAATAACATAGAAAACAGAAATAGGATCGTAGAAATGAAGAGTTATACAGTGCCAAATAAAATACCTATTGTATTTAATGTTTAGAAGACATTTTTGATTTTGATGAGAAATTTCCCTATGTGTTACAAATTTCGTAGTAACTTACAGAATAGACTAAGAAGAGGTTGAGCATGACTATCTTTTTTCCTCAGGTATTGGTTTTCAACAAGAAAGGAATTTCAGGTTCTAGATACAGGTGAATGTATTTGTATGTTGGTAGGAAGATGTTAATGGAAAGTATAGATTAAAAAATTAAGAGAAAATAAGGAATTTCAGGTTCTAGATACAGGCGAATGTATTTGTATGATGGTAGGAAGATGTTAATGGAAAGTATAGATTAAAATAAGAGAAAATAATTGAACAACTGCTCAGAGGTGAATGGAATCAAGAGAGGATGGATGGATTAGATTTGGATAGGATGGCAAATATTTTCATGTATTACTGCAGGTAATTTTACAACTGAAAGGCAGAAACTTGAGGGAGTTTTTTCATTCCTTTTTTTTTTTTTGGTTATGTGACAGGAAACAGTCTACTGAAAATGGATTTGAGAAGGAATACTGTAAGAAGCCTGAGAAGAAATCAAAAGTTCTAATATTTGATAAGGGAGTAAGAGAAATAGTGGCTTTTGTTTTGTTTTGTTTTTCTTTTTAGTAAAATAGCTTAATAACTGGCTTGACATAAGTTATGAAAAATTCACACATGACTGCAGTAAAAAAGTCTGAGCAATACTAAAGGACCTTGAGAAAAAAAGAACTTGTTTAGAGTCAAGTAGGAATTTTGTAGTAATTGAATCTTCTAGTTGAATTATCAAACAGGCAGTGCAAGCTGGAAAATCAGGAAATAAGTCAGAGAAATGCTTTAAAAATATACATATATATATATATATATATATATATATATATATATTTTTTTTTTTTTTTTTTTTTTTTTTTTTTTTTGTGGAGGACATTAGCCAGGTGACCACTTCAGGAAGGTGAAACATGAAGCATGGATAGCTGCAGTGCCAGGCTGACCATGCTTCGTGGGCTTGTAAGTGATGGAGAACTACTTGCCCAGGTAATGGCCGATCATGTCAGGCTTGATCACCAGCTGGTTGAAGGTCTTGCCATGGTAGATGCCCACCATGCTGCCTGCTGTCTCCGGCAGGATGATCATGTCCTAAAGGTGTGTCTTCACCACCTTTGGCTGCTCCATGAGTGGTGCTTCCTTTTTGGCTTTGCACAAGAGCTCCAGCAGCCAGTGCTTCCACCACAGGCCTCAGTTCAGCAGCTGCCACTGCCATGCACTGTAGAGCTCAATCAGCTGTCTGCCGTACTTGCACAAGCCACCTCCTTGCCTGTTTCCATAATGGGTCTTGTAGGCCACTCATGTATTGTACACCATTACTCTGTCTTTTTTTCAATGTGTGCAGGATTTTTTTTTCTCAAATGTAATATAAATTGTCAGTTGAAAAATGGTAGTGAATTGTGAATTGCATATCATTAGAGGGTTAAGAATCATTTGTACTTAATGAATGTGCTATGATGTATTATGAAGTCATAAGCTGCCACAGGTTGTGTTTCTTCATTTCTTTGAATTCTGATCATGTTGTTTTATACTTACTTTACTCAAAATCATAGACTGTCACTTCAACCCTTTTTTTTTTAAGCTATTTTATCTGTTTAGGAACTGCTTTTTATTGACTATGCTGTCATGTTTTCTGTACCCATTTTTTTCACTCTTTGTTTCATTGGTAAGGGCTTCGTTTGTTATCCTTGAGTCCTCATTCATTGCACAGTGCTTAGAATGCTTTTGATAGTGAATAAATTCTTATCAATGAATAAATTGTGGCTTCCCCTTGTTCTTTTTCTTTCGTCCTCCCTTGGTTCCTCTTTTATGTTCCTTTCTGTGAACTATTTGGTCTGCTCATATTCCAGTTATGCATTTTCATCTTAAATTCTCCTGAACCTGTTATTTTCTTCACGTGATATTCTTTCTTCCTTGTTACACTTGTTAATCCCACCATTTGTTTTCTTTTGTTTACCCATCTTACCTTGTGTAATATAGTATTGATTTGTCAGTCCTTCTTCCTAACACTACTTGCTCATTCTTCATTACCCCTCCAAAAAAATCCAGTTTATTTCATCAGATAACTAATATTAAGTAATAATAATATTTAGCTTGGCACAGTGGCATACAATGTTTGAGGTTGAGACATGAGGATCTTGAGCTCAGGAATTCAAGAACAAGCTTGGGCAATGTAGCAAGACCTTGAGTCTTAAAAATAATAGTAATATTTATGCAGCTTATATTCTTTGAGAGGTATTCTAAATGATTATTGTATATAAACTAATTTCTCACAATATAGTGAGTAGTAAATATTTTATAGATATAATTAATTTATTTATCTTGATTAACTTATTTTTCTGGCAGTTCTTGCCATTAAAGAGGTTGGCTGATGTTTGTATTTCAGATGTTTTGAACAGAGATAAGGATGAAGAGCCAACTGTAAAACAAGAAATTGAAGAAATTGAGGATGAAGTGGAACCACAGAGTGTTATAGTTACAAGAATCAAAAGTGAAATTGACCAAGATCCCATGGGTAGAGAAACCTTTGAACTTGTTGGTAGGTTAGATAAACAGAGAGGGATCTTCTTATGGGAAATACCACGGGAATCTTTGACCCAGGAACAGAAAGTGTTCATAGGAAACACTAACATCCGGAAGAGAACAGACACAGAAGAGAAATGCCATAAATGTGAAGAATGTGGGAAGGGTTTTGTTCGGAAGGCCCATTTCATTCAACATCAAAGGGTTCATACTGGTGAGAAGCCCTTTCAGTGCAATGAATGTGGGAAAAGCTTTAGTCGTAGTTCATTTGTTATTGAACATCAGAGAATTCACACTGGTGAGAGGCCCTATGAGTGTAATTACTGTGGAAAAACCTTTAGTGTGAGCTCTACTCTTATTAGACATCAGAGAATCCACACTGGAGAAAGGCCCTATCAGTGTAATCAGTGCAAACAGAGCTTCAGTCAGAGAAGGAGCCTTGTTAAACATCAGAGGATTCACACAGGTGAGAAACCTCATAAATGTAGTGACTGTGGGAAAGCCTTCAGTTGGAAGTCACACCTTATTGAGCATCAAAGAACTCACACTGGTGAAAAGCCCTATCATTGTACCAAATGCAAGAAAAGCTTTAGTCGAAACTCACTGCTTGTTGAACATCAGAGAATTCACACTGGGGAAAGACCCCACAAATGTGGGGAATGTGGGAAAGCCTTTAGGTTAAGTACATATCTTATACAACACCAAAAAATTCACACTGGTGAGAAACCTTTTCTTTGCGTTGAGTGTGGAAAAAGCTTCAGTCGGAGTTCATTCCTTATTGAACATCAGAGGATCCATACTGGTGAACGACCTTATCAATGCAAAGAGTGTGGGAAAAGTTTCAGTCAACTTTGCAACCTCACTCGTCATCAACGAATTCACACAGGAGACAAACCTCATAAATGTGAGGAATGTGGAAAAGCCTTCAGTAGAAGCTCAGGTCTTATTCAGCATCAAAGGATCCACACTAGGGAGAAGATTTATTCATACAGTGAAACTAAAGAAAGTTTTGATCCCAATTGCAATCTCATTATACAGCAAGAAGTCTACCCTAAGGAAAAATCTTACAAATGTGATGAATGTGGAAAAACTTTTAGTGTTAGTGCTCACCTTGTACAACATCAAAGAATCCATACTGGTGAAAAGCCCTACCTATGTACTGTTTGTGGGAAAAGCTTCAGTCGAAGCTCATTTCTTATTGAACATCAGAGAATCCACACTGGTGAGAGACCTTATCTATGCAGACAGTGTGGCAAAAGTTTTAGTCAACTTTGTAATCTTATCCGACATCAAGGTGTTCACACAGGTAATAAGCCTCATAAGTGTGAGGAATGTGGAAAGGCCTTTAGCCGAAATTCAGGTCTTATTCAGCATCAGAGAATACATACAGGAGAGAAACCTTATAAGTGTGAGAAATGTAACAAAAGTTTCAGTCAACAACGCAGCCTTGTTAACCACCAGAAGATCCATATAGAGGTCAAAACACAAGAAACTCATGAATGTGATGCTTGTGGTGAAGCATTTAATTGCCATTTTTCCCTTATTCAACATCAAAAGTTGCATACGGCATGGATGCAGTAAATGTAGAGAAATATGTTGGCTCAATTTGAGACTAGCTACCTAAGTATAATTTTAGTATGGTTAAATATGGGTTAGATTTAGTGATAAATTGTCCTTGGCCTCAAGCACATGGTTTCTAAAGATCTTGTGAATAGTACATAACTGTCCATGGGCAGTTGACTTCCAGCTGTTTTCATGATTATGGAGAAAGACTAATTTATCTAAACATCTTTCAGCAGAGAAGTTAAATCCAGGTGCAGAGCATATGAAAGTGCTCTAAAGGAGAAAGTTAAATTAGTGCAAGGGAACTCGGAGCAAGGTCAGAGATATTAGAAAACTGAAAAACTCCTCTGCCACTATCTCATGGTGGTCCTTTCAGTTCTGTGATAATGTTTGGCTATGCATGTCCAAGCCCAGTTATCAAGCATATGTAAGTTGTCAAAGTCCAGATGTCAGTGAAATTAGTATACAAAGTTTTTATTGTTAAGTCAGCTGTTTGAACATGGGAGTTAACGAAAGTTAATTCCTAGTGCTCAGATCAGTGAAATGAATGAGCCATTAACTTTCTCTATGTATACAGATTATGTGACTAATTTAGCAAAGGTGTTGCCAAGGAATCTTTGGAAGTACTCCCGCCAACGAGATGAGCCTAAAAAAAAATGTGGAATAAAATACTGTGGTGCAATCCCATATGTGAAAGATTGATAAAGATTATTCCTGCACTACCAGGAGCATGTGGAAGTGTATATATTTTGATTACCAATAATTGGAAATAAAAAGACCTGGAGTTTATGCTAGGAAGCTGAGATATTTTGGTATTACTTTGGGTTTTAAACTAGATTTTGCATGCAATTTTAAAGTATTTCAGTTCAAGGGCTTCCCTTAGTTCATGGTGGTTATAAACCTCTTAAGCATATGTTTTAATTATTAAAACCTGTTTTGTTTTTTGCTTTGTGTAAGAGTTTTTTTGTTACTGTAGTGTAAAATCAGTCCTGTCAAATACTTTGTTTAAAATTAGAATCAAGGATTTAAAGGAAGTTACAATCACTCGTGCATCTGCCTGTTCAGCATTTTCTGGACTGGTTTAAAGTCACATTAAGTCCAGGTTCTTTAGTTTCTGAATGTAGAGTTCGTAATCATTAGAACTCCATAATTCTAATTTGCTAGTAGTTTAGTAACTTTTTGGTATGCCTTAATGATTCTAAAAATCACCTTCAAACCTCCATCTTCTCGTCTCTGAATATCAGATGTTTGTGTTTGTGTACATACACATAAATGTAAAGGTTATGCATATATAAAAATATACCTATCTTTTTCCATTCCTGTACTCAGATATTCACAGTGTACAAATTTTGTTACTCAATGAAAAGAACTTGTTTTAAAGAAAAGTACTACCTGATTCAGCAAGATAATAGAGTAATTCTCAAGCCCGAGTTTCAAGTAATAATGAGATTCTTAGACTTGTTCTCAATCGATCATGGCTTTTTTTTTGTTTTGTTTTGTTTCGTTTTTGTCTTTTTCATTATTCTTGGTACCGGGGATCAAACTCACGACTGCCTGCTTGCAAGGCAGGTGCTTATGCCACTGAGCTAAATCCCCAGCCCCGATCATGTGTTTTTTTCCCTATTGTTTTCTATCTTTGTGAGACAGGGACACACACTGCTGTTCAGGCTGGCCTTGAACTCATGGCAATCCTGCCTCAGCCTCCTGCATGTGATTTGCTCTCAATATTTTAAAAAGAAGTGCAAAATATGTTTTCACTGGAAGCATGTTAATACATTTCTCTGCTTTTCGCTTAAATTGTTTCGTGTGTAGACAGTGATGGTGAACCTTTTAGGAGTGACCAAACAACCCAAAATCCACTTATTTATTGCAAAGTGCCAACATTGCAATTAAACATAAATGCTGAGGTTTTAATTTAGAAAAACTCATATTTGTTTTTTTTATGTTAAAAACATAGCATGTACCTGTTTCCTCACCACTGGTATAGAATAATATTCTTTGAGACAGTGTTAACATATACCTATCATGTACTGCTTGTATGACTAGAACAAGTAGTTATATTGCTTAGCAGAAGCTCCAACTCTTTGTTTAACAGCAAAGTTTATGGTCATGTTTATGAGATTTTCTTACTAGAATTACTGATTTTTAGTATTCTTAAGATGTGAATCTGGGATTTAAAAAACAGCAATGGATAATTCATTCTTGACTAATGAAAAGAGCCATGAAAAGAATGTTTTAAAGGAAGTTCTGTATTTACCTTTTTTTCTCAAGAAGCTAATAGAAGTATTAGCAGAGGGCCCTAGAAAGGAAAATGAAGACTAGGAAAGGAACCCATTAGGTCAGGAGAAGATGTTTTGAGATGAGACTAAAAGGTGAATACCAGTGACAATGACAAATACTGCCTGGAGATGGCAACAAGTACCTGGTCGTTGTTACAGAATGAGCTAGTTTCTTGGCAAGTCAGGAATATGATAGGTAAGACATCACTCAAGGGCAGATCAAAAAACATCATACAAAAGACTACCTAATTTCTTTGGTGACATTCTCCTTGTATGTAAGTATACTGTTAGAAAGGGATGCAATTGCACAGCTCTGTATTTTGAAAACCAAACAGCGGTATAACAAGCACCCAGTTTAAGGAATGATTTTGCAGGTACCCCAAATGTTACGTTCCTGTACATCTTTTCAAATATACTAAATGTTCTGAAGTGCCTTCATTCATTTCAACTTGAGCATTATGGAGCTGAGTGGGTGGAAAATTGTTGAGTCCATAGTTTCTTAGGGCTGTGGGTCCTAACCTTAGAAAATGTACATGTAAAATTGTTCCATGGTTTGGTAGTTTCCATTTGAAGGATCTCAACAAGGTGTTAACATAGCTACAAGATTATGGTGCTTCCCCTAAGGCCAAAGAGATATGGTGAGATGGGTTAGAGGAGTACATATAAACTAGTAATATTACTGATTCGAAGAGAATGGAAATGTAGGGTAAATATTCAAAGGATTTGGATGGTTGATACTTTTACTGAGAAAGGGGGCAGATGATAGGAATGAAGAAATCCATGCAATTGATTAGAAAATTTGGTATGAGTGTGAGAGAGTTAAGATGTACAGATCTAATTGGAGACTATACCTAGAGAAGAGATGTTGGCTAGAAACTGACTTGATATTTTGATAAGGCAGAGAATAAAGTGAAAGTCTAGAGATGGGAACCTAAGGACCACTATTAGTGAATGTATAGGAGGCCAAGGGAAAAATGGTCCAAAACTAGGAAGACCCAACGTGTAAGTGCTTTGATAAAGCAACCTCCCGGATTGCTACAGAGGTTGAAGATGGACCGAAGAGTATCCTTTGGACTTAATCATTGGAAGGTCAGTGAGTTTCTATAAGCAGTTACTTGTGAAGAGCCCATTTTCAGAGGTCGATGTTTGTAAAGTATATCCCATATAGTGCTAATTTAGACAAAAATATCCATATTCAAGTAAAAATGACGATATAGTATCTTTCTAAAGGTAAATTAAAGTCATTTTTAAAAGTATGCGCTGTTTAAAGTGCAAAAGTCCTATTATGAAACCATAGTGATTTGAGAGAGGATACATTTGTTAAATGTATGTCTTAGCTGGGAAAAAAATTAGCAACCTTTTATTGGTAATTATTTTTACTCAATTTATTGATCTATAAAAGGGAATAAAAGTAGATAACCATTATATGTAGACCAAGAGAATGAAGAAAATGCCTGGAGATGGCTTGTGAGAACTTAAGACTTACTAACTGGTTTCAACAGGGAAGGGTACTAGTCCAACAGCACCATTCAGAAGATGCACAAGGTGCATGTACTTTCTAATAGCACTGTTTGACAAATCCATGAGGGATGAGTACTCAGTAGCACTACTGAGCAAAATTCACAAGGGTTGTATACTTAGCAGCAGCACTGTGGGGAAGTCCAGTGATAACATGTTGGAGACATCCTCAACATACCTCTAGTGTCCAGTTGTGGCTGTTAGCATTTATCCACAGTTTCATATCGGGTGGGCAAAAGGAGAAAAGTTTTACAAATCAAAATACATAGGCAATGATCAGCAATCCAAGAATTAGCTAATTTAACGTACGAGTGGGAGGGCAGTTTCTGCAGGTAACACGGGTTTGCTTTGTTTGGTTCCTAGTGCTCATGGAAACACAAAAATGCATCTCAGGGGCATGCTTTACTTCCCAGGGATAATGCTTGTCTGGAATATATTTAGGCCTGTTCTATATTGTACCCTGTAACTGTATATAATTGTGTAATGCTGTAGATGGAGATGAAAGAAAAAGGAGTGCTTCTCTGAAAGCCAGTTGAAAGAGAAGTTAACAGCAGGAAGAGAAAATTGTTGGGCGAACTGAAGGGAATCCTAGAATTAATGACTTTGGCATGTTGGGATCTTCCTTAATTTGGGAAAGGAAAATAAAGCAGATTTAGTGTCTAATTAAAATGAAATTGGATTCACTTGAGATGACCTATTTTTTAAAATAAAGTTCATATTGTAAGTCTGGGAAGGAAAAGGAAGTAGACATGGCGTGGAGCAGTTTGCGACTTCATCAATAATACAGATTTCAAAGGGCAACCAGAGAGAACGACAGGAAACTTATCCTCTGGGAAAATGGCCTTAGGGAGTTGGTAACATTGAATGAGCCCTTCAGGCTCTATTGAACATAGACAATTAACCTTTACTGTAAAAGTTGGCAGATCCTATGTGAAAGAACAGGTCCACCAATTACCTAAAAATCAGGAGATGAGCTGAGGCAGGAGGATTGCAAATTTGAAACCAGCCTAGATTACATAGTGAATTCAAGGCCAAAGTGGACTACAAACAAGACTCTGTGTCTAAGGAATAAAAATGAATTTAAAATTTAAAAACATGAAATATACAAACATAATCTTGAGACCTTATGTGTCTTGGAAATCTGAATTTTACAGATTCTAGAGAATAAAAACAATATTACATATATTACTTCTCTCCCCAGCACCTACTATCAAAAAAAGTATCTTTGCACCCCAGCAAGTATAATAGTGATGAGTAGCCCCTATCAAATTTCGCTGAAAATGTCTTCTGAGCTTTGTGAATTTTGAGATTGTGGTGCTGTTATTGAGATATATCAATCATTTATTTTCTCAGTAATATGTAAAGATACACTTTTTCTTGTTTGGAAGATTAAAAACTTCTGGAAGTCCTGTTAAAAGAACAATTTGTGTATATATAAAGACTGTGTAATATGCCTGAGGTTATATAGCTAAGCATTTGAATCTAGACTGTAGATTCATATAGCATAAGCATTTGATTCCAGACTCTGTAGCTCCAGAATATGTGCTTTTAACCACTGTCAAAATGCTCTCTGTAATGTCTTTGTACATCCAGACTTGCCTAAGTCTCTTCAACTGGTGACCATGGCCAACTTCCTTAGCACACTAGAACTCAATCTCCCACTCTGTTTCTGTAAGTACAATGTAGATGTATACATGAATCTTCTCCCAGGAGGGCTGAGTCAGAGGACCTAAAAAGTCTTTTCTTGCTTTGTCTAAAAGCTGATCCCAATTTCTGCAAGTTTCTAAAGGATTGTCTTCTGTCACAATTAGCTTTTGCCTCTACTAAATTAATTTTATGAATTGTTAAAAATTGTCTCAGTATCTCATTTTTTCTAAATAATAGTAATTGTGAAACTTCGCTCTTTCCCCAAGAAGACAAATATCTTTAGATTGTTTAATAGTTCCCCCTCTTTTTAAGGTCCTTCAGTCATATTCCCTTGTTCTTTCCCACTTTCCCTGCATCTTTATTTCTTTTCTTTTCCTTCATTTCTCTGCCCTCTCTTTCCTTTCTCTTCCCTTCTTCTTCAGAACAAAAACAAATTCCTATTTTCATTCCTTCCAGCATTAAACCATGTTTTGTGGCCCTGGCTCTTGATATTTATGTCTT